CTCTCTCTCTCTCTCTCTCTCTCTCTCTCTCTCTCTCTCTCTCTCTCTCTCTCTCTCTCTCTCTCTCTCTCTCTCTCTCTCTCTGTCTGTCTGTATCTCTCCCTCTTTCTATTTCTCTCGCGTCGGAATTTTTAGTTACAGCTGTTAGATGCGTTGTAGCCTGACGTGTACGTCGAGAATTGACAGCCAAACATCAGTGGCATCCGTAATGCTAACTTCCGTAAGCCTTGCGTAATCCTCAGTTCTGGGTGTGGGCGCAGCAGTAATGTCTTTGCCAAATGCGCTTCAGCTTTTTGCTACATATTTTTAAAATATCGCGATGACCTCAGAGTAAACTTGCTTCATGTTGCATTTGCAGTTTTACAGATAGTTAGCGTTATAATTAAGTCGGCGCAATTCACGTAGTTAGCTCATTCGAACGTCGTTGTCACTACGCACTGTGTGCGTGTGCGTTCACGTGTAGGTGCGCGTGTATGCGTGTGCACCTGTGTACGCGACGATTCTGTAGTCTGTCTGTGTGTTTGTTTGTGTGTGTGTGTGCGCGTGCGTGCGTGCGTGCATGCGTGCATGTGTGCGTGTGCGTATATATGCGTGTGTGTGTGGGGGGGGGGTAATAGTCGTTAACTTTAGTGCTTCGTAATTGATTAGCAATAATTACGTCAATATAAATGCATTACATTAGGCACTCTCGGAGGTAATAATTTTGCGCCGCCCGTCTCGATTCCCGACCGCGCTGCGCGAGAGCTCCGTAACACGCTGCGCGCGTCTCGTATGCTGCAACCCTTTAAGAGCCCGTTAATATTTAATCGGCGGAATTTAGACGTGTTGCGTGGCCGACCGGCTGGCACGGCTTCTCTCCCCTCCATCTCTCAGCTCGGCAGCCGATGAATCTTTGTCAGTCCCATCCGGCTGACTCACGAACAAGAATGCGGGAAGTGATCATTCCTCGTGCCTCCCCCGCCAACTCGTCTGCACTTCGAACCCATCTGGAGCAACAACGATAATTAGCGCCGTGCCAATAAAAAAAAAACCCCCGGGGGAGGCGATGACGGAGCTCGCTAGGGAATCCCCCGGAATTCGCGTGACTCGAGGCCTCCCTGTGTCTCAGCATGACTCGTGAGCTTCTCCCTGTGTCTCGGCGTGTCTCGTGAACTTCTCCCTGTGTCTCGGCGTGTCTCGTGACCTCCCTGTGTCTCGGCGTGTCTCGTGAACTTCTCCCTGTGTCTCGGCATGTCTCGTGAACGTCTCCCTGTGTTTCGGCATGTCTCATTCTCCCTGTGTCTCGTTTCAGGCTGTGTACTCGCGTGTGGCGCGCGTCTGCAAGAACGATCGCGGCGGTCTGCTCGTGCTCGAGGGACAGTGGACATCATTCGTCAAGTCTCGGCTCATCTGCTCCTTGCCCGGCGACTACCCGTTCCACTTCAACGAGATACGTACGTGCTGCGCCGCGCCACCCTTTGCTGCTACTGCCGCCCCGCGACCCGCCCAGCCTCCATCCCCTCCCATCCACCGCTCCCGCGATCCACCCAGCTTCCGTCCCCTCCCATCCGCTGCTCCCGCGATCCACCCAGCCTCCGTCCCCTCCCATCCACCGCTCCCGCGATCCACCCAGCCTCCGTCCCCTCCCATCCACCGCTCCCGCGATCCACCCAGCCTCCGTCCCCTCCCATCCACCGCTCCCGCGATCCACCCAGCTTCCGTCCCCTCCCATCCGCTGCTCCCGCGACCCACCCAACCTCCATTCCCTTCCATCTGCCGCTCCCATGACCCGCCCAACCTCCGCCCCCTCTCATTTGCATGCATGAGAAAATCGGATCGATCTCGTTCGACTTCGTCTCGAAAGAAGGCGGCGAGTCGCGAGCCGGCCGACGGAGGATCGAGTCGTCGCATTTTTTGTTGACGATTCGTTTTCTTTGCTGATTCATTTTCTTTCTCTGCTGGGGGCGGGGAGGGGGTCATTCGTGGCACCACGGGGGGGGAGTCACGATATATTGGCCGGCGATGCTCAAGTAATTGGTTCGGTGCGGGCGGTCGGCGCATTTAGTCTTTCGAGACTCGCTCGGCGCGTGTGGCGCCGGGCGTGCCGATGATGCGGTGGCGCTCGTGGAACGAGATCGCGCCGGAGCAATTGATTTCTCACATTCGCCGTCTTCCCCGTTGCGTCGTCTGTGCATGCATCGCAATGTTGATTCAATCCATCCCGATGTCGTCAGGTAGCGGCGTCTCCGCCGTCGCCGCGGCGACGTTTGCCAGACCGCTCGTGACGCCATCTATGCGGTGCCCGCGCACACGATTCATGCGCCGATATCGTCTAGAGAGGCGGCTCTTTATCGCAAAACCTTCGGCGAAAATTCTCTTCGGCATGATAGGTTATGTAAACCGCAACCGTTTACACAGTCGCCATTATATTCCGACTAAATTCAACAGCGTTTTCAGAGAATTACACGAGGTAGTAAAGGGCCGGCAATATCTGCTAACAGCGTGCACTTTGGATGCTAATAGCTGCTGCATTCTAGCTGCATGTCAGTACTCGGCCAGCAATCGCACCGCATGTGCCAGCTCGAAAGATTCATTGTTTTCTCAACGAGCCCGTCTGGTTGTTATATAACTGAATTTGAATTGTACGGTGCAAACACTCTGGGGAGTGAAGATGCTTTGAAGTGAACATGTTTTGTGAAGCCTGTACATGCGTCCGTGCGTGCGTGCGTGACCGAGCATCACATTCATGCCGTGTTGTCCGTACATGTGCTGCATTCATGCCTGGTTCTCTATACATGTGCTCTAACCCTTCCATGTTCTCCATACATGTGCTCTAACGCTGTTGCCTCTGTGTGCATGTGTAGAGGCGAGCACGCCACTCGTGGAGACGATGGTCAACGGCAAGCGGGAGCTTGTGTTCTACGCCGTCTTCACGACGCCAGACAACAGCATCAGCGGGTCGGCGGTGTGCGCGTTCCGCATGCGCAACGTCACTGACGCGTTCGACGGGCCGTTCAAGGCGCACGACGTCGACTCCTGCTGGCAGACGGTGCCCTCGAGCAAGGTGCCCTCGCCGCGGCCCGGAACGGTAAGAAGCCCACCTTCCTTCATCCGTGCTGTCCTCTGATCACCTTCCCCACACCCCTCCATCCGTGCTGTCCTCTGACCTTCCCCACAACCCTCCATCCATATCTACCTCTGACCTCTCCCCCTTATAACGTTGACTGTTGCTGGAAGAGCAGCGCGTGCCCTCACCATGGCTGGGAATGGTAAGCAACCCACCTCCTTCTTCCCCACAACCCTCCATCCATCCTTACCTTTGACCGTCACCATTATAACGTCGACTGGTGCTGCAGTTATGACGGCTGGGAATGGTAAGTAAGTAGCCCTCCCCTCACGACTCCATCCACCCCCAGCCCTCATGAGAAAATTTGGGTGGTGACTTTCGCTCTACTGCTCGTGCCATGACTGTGACTCATATGTTGGGTAGGACTACCCCAAATGTTGGAGCTAGTCCTATATGATACTCTCCCCCACTGTAACAACTGCATGTTATAAACATCACGATGGACCCTTGATATAACTTCGTCCCTACTCTTATTAACAGTCCTGGCTGTATTTGTTACCCTATCAGCTGCTTACCATGAAGCGTAAACCCGGTGGTTATCATGGTTAGAAACCTTTAAATAACTCCTTGCAATTATTAGTGCACACAATTTACAGTGCCATAAAATAATAACTATAATTGCAGATAATTATGATATACATGTTATTGTGATTTACTCCTGGCAGTTCTCCTGTGTGTGTGACATTAGTAATACGACTTATATTTTAATGGAAATTTACTTGAATTTCCTTCATATTCCTTTCATCTATTCCTTACGTTATATTCATCTGTGTAAATTATATCAATCATACCCAATTTGATTTAATATCTGTCATTATAATTATGTATAAACCCTGGTGTGGAAATTGTTTAAATTACGAAGCCTTGCATTGTACATTACATTTCGCATTGCCTTGACGTCACATCCCTAATTGGTTGCTTTTCAGTGTGTGAATGATTCACAAGACTCAAGTCAGCTCCCCGATACGACCTTGAACTTCATCAAGGACAAGCCACTAATGGACATGCCTGTGCCACCTATGGGGAGTGAGCCACTGCTGGTGCGCACACATCTGCAGTAAGTGACGCATTCTCCAATACATGCACTCATCTCTCACATCTTGCTGCATCGAGTATTAGTTTCTCTAACAACCAGAGGTGTTCAGAGCAGCCGACTGACTACTCCACTTGCGCATTTATCGAAAAACAGCCTCTCTGCGGAACAAATTGTCACTTATATGTTCTTTAGCATTAGAGAGTTATCACTTCGTTCAAGGCATATTAGTAACAAACAGTTATTTCCCAGTTTGCGGGGGGGAAAAACACGGATGCACGCAGCTCTCCTGAACAACTCTGCGAAAAAGTTGGAATTCAAACCTTTTACAAATACCAGCGCATTGTACATTTCAGGTCAAAGTTCACGCACATCACAGTCGATCCCCAGGTGGTGGCGGTGGACGGATCCACGTACGACGTTATGTTCGTCGGAACTAGTAAGTGTTGCCGCACAGGGTCTACGCCAACTGTCAGACTACCCGCTTGATTTCATTACGATTTCCGCAACGTTGCATCGTTCGATCAGTGGCTGGCATTCCGGTAGCATGGGTGTTACACTCCATCGTCGTCTAGAGGCGAAGCACAGCTCCTACTGAACACAGTCGTGACGCAGTATGCTGCAGTTATAGACGAATGCGTTCAGCAGTATAGGAGCACATAGTGGTGTCTCGGTGCTACGCGACGACGCGTTGCATCTCGGGTGGGGCCGCATCGCAGCCTCCCGGGAGCTAATCAGGTTGTGTGGGTATTAATTGTTGCCGCTACAGTTCACTGCGAGACAAAAGGCTCGGATTTCTGTGCTAATTAAAAGTCAACTGTCACTCTGCAGCGAAAATGCTCGCGGCTATCAATTATTAATTGCCGGGACGATCGATGAGGCTTCATGAATTTGTAAGTGAAGCCATAAGGCGGACGCGATGCTGCCAATCGAAAAAAAGAGAGTATGGCCGGTCCCGGGTGACGCCGGAATTTTAAAAAATCGTGGCATTTTTCTAATGATAAAAGGAGTGGGGAATCAATACATTAGAACTTCCATGTATTTGCATGCAGCGCCATCAGAAAAAAACCCGCTATGAAGCAAGATCGCATCGAACGCATATTTGATGTCGAATCAATTGGGTTTTATTCTTATAGGAAATTATTTTTATCACGCGACGGTTTGCACCTGTGCTTCGTCTTCTGCCGAGACTTAGCATTGGTAATATCATCTAGGTTTTAGACCAAGAAAACGAGTAATGGGGCAAAGGGAGAGTCGAGCAGTGCGAGGGGTAGAACAGGTTTAGAGGGATGAGAGGGGGAAGTGCAGGGGGAGCTACGATGTAAGGAGTGGGTAAGATTAGGGGAAGGGTGGGGCGATCTGAGGGTTGGAATAGGGTGAGATGACATTAGGGGGTTGTGCATGGAAATTACATGACCAATTCCATTGCCGCAGGAACTCTACAGCACCTGATTGAATGACCGCTATTTTCACTGCATCTCTGCCTAATTGCACTCGCAATTTAATGAGCATGTTGAGGCCTTCATTAGCATCCCCATTGCGAATATGCAAATTTGCGAAAAGAAGATTCAACAAAAAACTATTTATACAAATTCGTTTAAGTGGAGTTTTACAGTGTTGCAGCGTATCTGTCCCTATGCATTTTGTAATGCAATCATTTTATGCAATTTAGACTTTCACACGACAATGATTAACTGTTTATATGTTGGCGGTATGTATAACTTACTGCAGCTGCACATTCCATTAGCTTATTTTACAGCATTTATTGGACTTAAAAACTATGAACATATAAACTGTATAAATTATGGAAAATTATAACTTACGTTTGCTATGGAATTACACTAATAAAGTCTAATTAGTTATTAATCCATTGGCACTGCATGCCTGATTCTCTCCTTAAAAATTAATTGGGATGTTTGCGGTCAGTGTGGTATCAGATGCTGTGATCTTCTTACCATCTGCCACAATTATCTATTTAACAATGTCATGGAGATCAGGATTCTCCCTGCAAACATTGTTTCCACAAACCGTCTCTAATTAATTGCCAATTAAGGACTAATCAAAGTAATTACACTTCGCATGACATCCATGCAGGTGCAAATCTTAGTTCTCCTTTCAGGTGTGCTTACAGGTGTGTGCGTGTGCTTGCAGGTGTGTGTGTGTGTGTGTGTGTGTGTGTGTGTACGTGTGCTTACACGTGTGCTTACAGGTGCATGCGTGTGTGTGTGTGCTTGCAGGTGTGCTTACAGGTGTGTGCGTGTGCTTACAGGTGTGTGCGTGTGCTTGCAGGTGTGCTTACAGGTGTGTGTGTGTGTGTGTGTGCTTGCAGGTGTGTGCGTGTGCTTACAGGTGTGTGCGTGTGCTTGCAGGTGTGCTTACAGGTGTGTGCATGTGCTTGCAGGTGTGCTTACAGGTGTGTGCGTGTGCTTGCAGGTGTGGTTACAGGTGTGTGCGTGTGCTTGCAGGTGTGCTTACAGGTGTGTACGTGTGCTTACACGTGTGCTTACAGGTGCATGCGTGTGTTTGCAGGTGACGGCTTCGTGTTCAAGTCGCTGCACGTGAACTCTGGCGGCGGCGGCGGCGACGACGCGAGGCGGCACATTGTCGTCGAGCAGGTGCGAGTGCTCAACGTGACGCTGCACGGCAACCTCACCAACCTGTACGTCTACCGGCAGCGCACGCCAGACGGCGACACCGACGAGAAGCTGGTGGTGGTGTCGCAGCGGTCGGTACACGCGCTGCCCGTGCAGCACTGCGCCGTGCGCGTCTCCTGCGCCGGCTGCGTGCAGCTGCAGGACCCCTACTGCGCGTGGGACCGCAAGAAGAAGCTGTGCGTGCACGATGCCAACCGCGGCGACGCCGCCGACAAGAGGCAAGTTACGCGTGCGCGGGTTGCTGAAAGAGTTGAGCACGGTGGGGTGTGTGGGGGGAGAAGCTAGCAGGAACGTAGCTAACCCTTTTTTTCTGGGGGGGGGGGGAGCTATGTGCATTGTGTGTTCTGGGAAGGTGACCACCATATATTTTGTCTACTTTTTTTGGGGGGGGGGAACTGCCGCGAGCTATGACCCTGGTCAGTGAGTTCTATGCTCTCAGTTATGAGTCTTCACTTGTGACTCCACCTTGCTTACTAAGTGTGTGTATGTGTGCGTGTGGGTGTGTGTCTGCATCTGTGTATATGACATGGTGTCCTGCTGTACGAATGATGCATAAGATGTTCATTAATTGACAGTTGCTTAGCAGGAATTAACTATTACAAGCTCGCTACTGCTACTGTCGTGGAGAGTCTTGCGAAAGTTTTCGTGTCTCCGCTCGGATTTACCGTACTAATTGTATCGTTTCTCTTTTGTGCTTGCAGGAAACCATGGAGCACTCCCCACCCTGGACAGTTTATACAGAACGTTCAGGATGGCTTTCACGTAGACTGTAAAGATGTAGGTAGGTGACGCTGACATCATTTTGTCCCATCCTCTCCGTCCATGCGTGACATGTGTGATGATGATGTGTGCACCGACTATCTCGTATAGTACGGACTTCATGGTTTTAATTTACCTTGCACGTTACCTGATTTTTATTATCTGAATGTTTTTTTCTAAATAATTTATTTAACAATGTTCACTGGTTTCGTTGAGAAAGGTACCAGTCGAGATTGACAGTTTTTTCAAGTTTTTTTTCTTCAATATGATTTCAATTCGAATTCAGTTGTATTAAAATTTAATTTACTTTCTATTTAATTTGACAGTGATTTTGTTCTTGATATAGTGACCCCTTTTTGTTTAAAATCACGCAAACGCCTTTATCAATTTCAGATGAAAAACTTACGTCTACAAGCACAACCCCTGGTGAGTTGAGTGTGGAATGGTGGATTGCCTCTACATTACATTCACTGAGTGCTGATAACACACACTTATGTTCGCCTGAATGCTTGCTAGAGGGTGATAAATGGCTGTAAAGGAAAGATCCACCGTTTTTGCAACAGTAGTAACGTGCGACACCTTTTCATGTCAGCAATATCCACTGTATGAAGTTGATAAGGAAAATTTGTTATCCTCGCTATGTAAAGCATCCTCAAGCAAGCAGGCAGTCATTTCCAGGGCAGTGTTAATATGTTGCGTTTATACTAACCAGGGTTAACCGTATCCGTACGTTATACACCTCTGTAGGAATAGTGGTAGGTTGTCATACTAACCATGTTTTTCTGTGTCTTCACTAATCATATTCTCTGTCTAACTCTCATTCGTCTATTAGATGGTGTTGCAGTTTTTTGTCTCCAGGTGTCACTACTGGTGTACTCGTCTGCTTACTCGTATTGGATTACATTACAGAACAGCATTGTACTCTGTCTATCTTGTTGAAGCTGTACTAGTGCTCTTGTCCTGTCTAATGCAGTAGTATTAGTGCTGGGTGTAAAAGCCTTGCTGGGTCTATTGAATTCATGCTACTTACTCTTCTGCCGATGTATGGTATACATATAAATATACATGTGTCTCAGGAATGCATAATAGAGGGCCTGCTATTATGTACTTCTGATGTGTATATTTATCTGTTTACACACATAACACACTGTATATATACAAATATATGCACATACATACATCTGGTCGGCAAGTGTAGTGAGCAATTATATGTGAAGTGGGATTTTCTGGGTTAATTAACAATCGAACAACGTTTCGAGTAACGACGTTGCTTCGATACTAACAAGGTGCATTTCTGCACATTGACAAGGTAATGGTATGTCCGTGTAACATACACTAATGAACAGGTGTGCAGATGCTGTAGCATTGTCACCTTGGTTACTGACCCGCAGTGGTGCCCTGCTTGCGGAAAAAAAAGCTAGGTGCTTTAGCATTCCAAACTACGGTAGCCTTTGCGATCTGACTCATGTTACACGAGTTATTGGTCGCCCAGGCCCGCGAGTCACACTGAGCTATTGCTGAATCGTGTGACAGCGTCACTGGTGGCTTGTACCGGGCGTTTTGAACAACCGAGTGCAGATAGAGCCGTCTACAGAATTGTACTTTTAATTGGGGGCTTCGCGCTAGTACAAAATTAAAAGTGCTTGGCTCGAATCGAGTGCGATAATGCCATCGCAGACCGATTACATGAGCGAACACTCGAATAACGAATACCAGAGGAACGTGACGGAAAATTCACTTCCCGTAAAATAATCGTCGTTTTCCATTTGCATTGTTGCTCCTCTGTTAAGTTTTGCATGACAAAATGCTATGTTGTGTTGTGTTACACGCAGCAGGGTTCACGCGTGATGACGTTTCCGCTGCTGCGTGGCGTTGTGTTGTGCTGATGATTGTATTGCGTGTGTACTGCATACCACCGTGTTTTGCCTGGATGATCTGCGGGGATCTCGACGATCGTAGTTTTTAGCGTGATAGAGGATCATCCGTGCACGAACAACGGGGGCCGTTGTACACTAAACGCATCTAGCACTGCTTGTCACGTGACTCTGCGTCATCGTGCACCTTGTTCATTGATTGATAGAAGTGACAACACATCCCGCCACAACCGCACCGCCGAGCACAGAACCGCCGACAACGACCACGGTGGCGCCACCAAGCACTTCCACTCCCGCAGCGCCCTCTGCGACACAGTGCATTTGCGACTGCTCGAAAGTCGCCAATGCATCGTTTGCGAAATACGTTGTTAATAATGAAATTACTGGTTAGTGTAAATTTTCGTAGAGATTCGTATTTTTTTTAACTTTTGCAAAAAATTGTGAAAATTTTGTTTGGCAAGACCTTTCATTAGCATAAAAGAGCTCATTCGATATATGGAAGAGTATTACTAAATGCCAAATTGAGTAAGCTTTGAAATATTTCTATGATACGGCAAAGAAGTATGTCCACCCTATATGTCCCTCCTACAAATTAACTATTCCTTGCATTAATTCATATAAATTGGTTCGTCTGCACTTAATCATAACAAACCTACACTAACATCTCAGAGAGAAGCTCACAATTGGTGGCAGGGATGCACATGGGAAATTTTATCAGAGAATCATCCTTGCAAATACGTTTGCTTCCGTGTTATCATAAACCTAGCTCTTTATTCTTGCATGTACTAGTGAACGGATATGCTATTAGTCTCTGTCTCGCACGATGTAGATGTCACGTCTGAAATTACGCACGTATGCACCTGTCTGTATAACACGTAGAATCGACGAGGAAATGGTCAGTTAAGGCACAGTACATTCGCTGTACGATGGGGACCGTCAGCTAACACTTGGTGGTTGTTCGTTAAAGTGGTTTTCACGAAACGTTCGATAGGCTCTGCACCTCTGTCTCTCGTTTTCTCTCTATCGCCTATGCTTCCTGAGTTTCTCGACTCCCTACGCCCCCTACCCCTGGAATACCCGGAAATTCACGCCAGGTGGCGCTCTCTCGCGCCCTGCTGTACCGCGTCAGGCTTATTGTTCGATGTGGCTGTTATCACCGACAGGTTCAACTGAGGACATCAAACCCCAGGAGGCACCAGCGAGCAAGTGCGCCCCAGCACTAGGTGAGGCCCCTTTCGTTGGCTTATCAACCACTTCACAATGGCTAGCCGCTTTGCGAACATGCGCGCGCACACCGGTGATAAGTAAGATGCAATAATATGATTTAAATGGCGAGGAACAATGGAACGGTCACGCTCACCCGTACACGCCTGCAGCACAGTTGGCCCTGCATCTGGGAAGGCAGCCACCGCCAGTTAGCACTAATCACTCTGATTAATGCGTGCGGTGGTTTACCCGATCGGCGCCTAGGTATAAGTCACAGTCTCGGAATGCTAATTTCTCTGCGCATCCCTCACTCGTTGGTCTCGAAGCACTCACGTGAGTGTGCTATAGAGATCAATTATACTCGAATGAGCATAGGTAGTACAGCAGCAGAGAGACTAGCAGAATATCAGTATTGCGTGTACTGAGAGCTGCTGTAGGTGGCGGTGTGAAATGCAAAGTAGAGACTCTGAACGCATTTGGGTAAGCGCTGATATTTCGTCCACCATCGGAATAAAAACAAAATAATGCAAACCATGACGATAAATTCAGATTTACTTATGTATCGTAGATCTACACTTAATTGTCCTACCGTCTTTGTGATGTTAGTGATACCCCCATACACGCCCGCCCTGTGTTATACAGCTGATCTGTACAGACACACACAGCATAATTACTGCTGTGTACTTATTGCGGGTGTTGTTGAAGGTGCTAGCTGTCGTGTCGTTTTCACGCATCTTGCGACTACATGGCTTCATTTACCTGGTGGCAAACTAACACATGGATCTTCATAGAACACATTTAATCTTCTCTGTGTCTGGTGGGGGGGGGGAGTGCATGTGTGCGTGCGGTAACCTGAAACTTGTAGTAATCATTCTGAGTGATCATTTCAGAATGATTACTCCAAGCCTGAAACTTGTGAGTGGGCTCATACCCTGTAGGGACAGCATGTTAGAACATTGTCATAGCTGTAGGTGTTGCACGCATTCATACTATTTTTCCTCGTTCTTTCTTGCTTTCACTCCTTTTCCTTTTTACATTTTCGATTTTATTGCATATGTGGAGACGAGACGAGTTAGAGTAACAGCAGAATACCAGGGCTACACATGGATTGTGTTAGATAGCAGTGAGATTTTGCATTGTATCCGTGTGATCTTGTGGCTGTTTTTGCACTCGTGTGGGTTTATGTTTGTGCCTTGTGGTCCCCGTATGTTTATACATAAGCGTAGTTGTTTCCCGAACGCAATCGGTGGTGTGCAAGTATCCCTATTTCACGTCACGTTTCATGTTACGGCGATTATTATTTAAATGTCTGTTAATGTACTGTTTCATTTGTTTTGCTATAATTTGTTTCACTACTTAGCCATTGAGGGTTCGGCATTCTAGTGGATAGGGGCCTTATCGATGAAATGTAACATGGCATATACAAATAAACAGATCTGGTGGTTTGTAAATGATCGTGCATACTATATGCAGCGATGATGCAGTACGTGTTTTGCACACCGGTGCATCTTTTAAGAAATTGTAGTGGGTGAGAGGTCATCAGCCCACAGCTAGGTCCTGTCATCACAGAGGGAGCCCGGTACAATGTACTGGCGCACAGGGCTTAAAAGTCGACACATATGCAGTGACACCCAATGATGACAGATCAGAGGTTCTGGGAAAACTAAGCTATGGTGTCTTGAAACGCCATCGCGGTTAGCCGTAAAGGATACTTCAGGACCGAGGTTGTGGGGTCTTAGGGGGAACGCAGTAGCAACTGCGGTTATGGTCCTTGGGGGGCGCATGCAGTTAGGACTGCTGGTCTTTTTGCTGTAATTGTGAACGACATTGCAATGCCGTAGAGGCACAGTTTTGAACCATAGCTCAACCAGTCTGATGAGTTTTTCATAGGGTTTACTCAGTTTTTAGTGATTGTGAATCAATTAGTCATGGGATCCATGAAGTCATTGGTGCACGCTAGTAACACGCCCAGCCATTCCATCCACACCGCGTCGCCCTTGCCTTTTTGAGTGCATTTGCAAATATCAAGTTTTTCTCCGGTAAAAATATGTGCGCCGAGTTTTATGATGGCGTTAGCAGCCTTCGGCAACTGCTGCTCAGTTCGTTATGTCTAAAGATCGCAGGCTTCTCTTAGTGTTATCCTGGTGTTATCAACCCAGCTCTGTAGGTTGCTGCACTGCTGACAGCACATGAAGCAGGCCTACATGGCTTCATCGTGTCTCAATACTCACAGGTTTCACTGGCAAAGTGAAATTGTGCGTAATGCACTGATAACTTACCTGTTATGCGCTGATATACGCGTCTGTTATACGCATCATTTTGCCTATTTGTTTTCCTACGGTTCACACGTACACCTCGTGTGAACGTGCTACGCACGCCTCCGAGTTTATCTTGAGTTGGGACACTGATGTCTAGCTGTGAGACTGATGCGTTGTTATGATGCTAATACACAGTAGTGGACACCGGTTGCTAATCCCCATACATACACGCTCGTGAGGCTTACTGCTTACACGCTCATAATGCTAGAAATGCCCACAGGTGGCACTGCTAGGTGGCCCTCGCACTGTATAGTAACTGATGCTCTCGAGCTATGGTTCTTGACCTCTGGGCTCCAAGCATAAGTATGTGCAGTTACAAAAGCTCTCCAGGGCATATCGAAACATTTCTTTGTAGTCCAATAGTGACAGCGCCGAGCCGAAAGGGTTAAGAACCACCACTCTAGAGTAGATGGGGTGTATAGTTTATGTTATACTAACACGTTCTGTCGGGTTGCTAACACGTACATGTTAACGATCGTCGCTGTCGCACAGCAGAATACGTTTAGATATTTCTCTTCTTCGTCGTGTCTTGTGAATTTTTGTAGTTAACGAAAGTACTAACTCAGTATGTCTGCATTACAGGTACAGCTTATCCATAAAGCCTTCGTAAGCACTGTCGTCAACCCGACAGTTTTACATAATGGTGCTGTAAGCTTTACCTCAAGCTGTCCAGCATCACTGGCCATCTTGTTAGACCCGAGTGTGCGCATTAGAGACTCGTTATAGGGTGCTGCTATACACACTAAGTGTGATGACCCTTACTGTGCATCACCTTAAATCATGCTACCCTGTTTTATGTGATAGCGCGTGACAGCCCTCCGTGTTACACCATGCTAATGCATGATTTATTTACGACATGATGCCACACCGATCTGTGACTAGTTGCCCACTGATGCCACTTTCATGCCGTACTTTCCACCACTGATCTCTCTATACTAACGATCATACAGAGTTAATTAGTATTTAGAGATCAGTGCTCTCTACCTAATGCCACCATTCCAACGCGTGACAATTTGACTTTTCACGCCACACGGATCTGTGACTCCCCCTGTGATGCCACCCTCACTACCCCGTGTTGCTGTGCTGATGTGCAACTATGCATCTCCCTATGCCACCCTCACACCTTACTCTCCCTCCATCCAGTGATGTAATGCTGGTCTGGGACTTGACCACCCTGTGACGCCACGCTAACATTGTGATAGTTTACCCTGTCCCGCCGCGCCGAGCTACGACTCCACCCCGTGACGCCACGCTAACGCTCTCTCTCTCTTCACGCGTGTGTTTCAGAGCCGAGCACCGCGCAGCTGACCGGCTCGTCGCACGCGTACTCTGCCGAGTCGCTGACGCTCGCCATCGTGCTGACGCTCATCCTCGCGCTCCTCATCGGATTCTGCTTCGGCTACCGCTTCAGCATGTGGCACGCGCGGCGCGCGCGCGACGGCGAGCCGCCCTACAAGGAGAACAACGATCTGCGGCGGGCGTCGCGCGAGGCACAGCACCTCAACCACGACGCCGGCTCGATAGGCAGCGGCGGCTACGTCGTCAACAACAAGCCGCCGGTGAACCTCGTGCTGAACGTCGCGCCGAAGGGCGGCGGCGGCGGCAAGTCGCCGAACATATCGACGACGGACTCGGTGTACAACACGAACACGCTGACGAAGGCGAAGAAGGTGTACTTGTAGCGCCCCCTCGTGGCGGGGCGGGCGGCGACGGCGCGGCGGTCGCCGTGCGTCGCCGTATTTTCCTGGTGCAATCTCTGTGAGAATTTGCTACACAGTATTTTGTATAGTGCGACGATGAGTGACGCTCACACGAACCCAGCGCTCCGTACTGTGATGATCGGCAAGTCGCTGCAAGGCGGGGACATTAGGGGATCGTCGGTCGCAGCGCATGCGTGGACGCGGTCAGGGGGATGGGGCGAAGCCAGCAAGCCTTGCCAAGCAGATGCCAAGCAACAAGCTTTGCCGAGCGGCTGGCAAGCAACCAGCTTTGCCGAGCGGCTTCAACACGCTGTTCAGATTGTTGTTGTTGTTATTACCAAGCTAACAGATGCAATCCGTTTTGAGTCTCGCAGCGCCACCTGCTGGGGAGATACTTCTCTCCATTGTAAACGACTGCAGATGGAGCAGAGAGGTAGGTGAACATGCTTCAACCTGACGTGCAACATACACGGGTGCTGCCTGCAAGAAGCTCGACTAGACAAAAGCATCCGTTCCGCACCCGCAGCAAGAGAAACTGGAAATTAGAAACTCGTGCCCAGGCACATACGTTCAGCTAGCTATCAGTGTTCCGTGGCTGCAGCTCACAGCGAGCGTCGAAACATAACTGCTAGCATGAGACACCATGAGCAAGCAGTCGTGCAGCTATCTAATATAAGGAAGCGCGTAAAGATGGTAATATATGCCCGTAGTGTTGTTCTGCACTATCTATTCGCAAGCAGTGCAATGGTGTATCGCTCAAACCTGCTGTAATTGCTGTTAAATTATTGAGTGTCGTGATGAATGCTAGGCAGTAGGATGACACTGCAGTGGGTGTGCAGCATTATGTGCCTGCATGTGCCTTATATACTGGTGACCAACAATAGTTCGACTACTAAGTAGCATTATTTAAGGAGACTGGCAGTAATGTGTGCGAGTAGGAAAACTGAGACAGCGTGCGAGGCCTGCACGACGAAATGGTAGCTAATCAAGTTCACGAGAGATTGGTGTATATATTATTATGTTTGTAAAAAATAATTTGTTTGTAAATACTACTGAAAGACCTTTTTTTTGAGCTCGTCATCACGGAAGCGTATCCGTGATTATTGTTTTAGTTCCACTTCGATTTGAAGCTACTGCTGCCTGACAGAACACAGGCACACTTCAGTAGAATAGATTAAAACGTGGCCATAAGTCTCGAACGTTCCTGTTGATGTTGAAATACTGTACCGATAAGTATATAGAGTATAATTTTTAGTTGATTCTGTGGGAAACCGTTGTACAGAGAATATAGGTAAGCATTAAAGAAATCTCATCTTCGAATCTCAGCCAGACTTATTTTATCAATACTACAGTGCCACACTCTCATTTGTGCGCTCATGGGAAAGGCCTAATTGTAAATAGATGCAGATGTAGACGTTCCTTGTAGTTTTTCCTCGTCACTGTACATGTAACACTGACACACAACCAATCACGGGATGTAGCAGGTTAAACGTAGTACTTCTGTAAGCTTCCTGCAGACTGTTATCCATACCCTTATACAATATTATAGATGCTACAAGTCGTTATCATGAGTTTATTTTGGGACGAATGCCATACGGTAATTTCTAGAATATTCCGTTACAAAATGCATTGTCAGAAGGCGTGCAATTGTTGTTCTAACTATCCCACTGGATAGGATTAGCTTGTTGCACAATCAGTGATTAATGGTTATACTTAATTTGTGTTGATTTATCGAGGAAGTAATCTGCTCAAACTGTCCAGTTGTGCATCCAAGTGTGTTCAAGGTTGGTGTGGTAGTTTTATGATTGGGAACACAGCCATGAGCATTAGTTTAAAGTCGATAAAGTTGTGCTTTGATGGTGAAATTGTATATATTAAACCACTAAACAAAATTCATAGTTGTGTATGTTTTTTCACAATTATCATTAAACATTTCATTTCTTCTCTGTAGTTCTATGAACACCCACTTATTCTTATCAAAAATCGTGACAATTCACTTCACCACTTGCCAATTTGGCACCACTTTCAGTTCAACACGGAATATCATGATTTATATCAAGAGACCATCTTGTTTTGATTTCCTTCATTCAATTATTCATCTACACTCTGGAACACAGAACATAAGAAATGACACAGATCTTTTCATTTGACTAACTAATAATTACCACAGTATTAGACAGGACACACAATGGGGTTAGCCGCTAGCTTTGTCAGCAGGTGGCGCAGCGGGAGTTAGAGGTGTTAAAACGATTGCGCAATCAACCGGTCAGTTGGAAAGATACAGGAATCACCAATAGCCGATCGTATCGTCATAGCGATATAGCCAAGTTAAAATGCCTTCGTAAAGTCTGCAGCGATCACTTCAGAGAGGCTGACTATACTAGCACACTTTTAAGTAACTGTAATATCGAAAATAGCTTATAAACATTAGTTATTAGCTCATTTTGACTTTGAGGTTTGCAGTAGTTTTCTTGCGTATTCCATGCAGTCTAGATT